AGTAGAATACAGGTTCTAAACATAGTAGAATACAGGTTCTAAACATAGTAGAATACAGGTTCTAAACATAGTAGAATACAGGTTCTAAACATAGAAGAATACAGGTTCTAAACATAGTAGAATACAGGTACTAAACATAGTAGAATACGGTTTCTAAACATAGTAGAATACAGGTTCTAAACATAGTAGAATTCAGGTTCTAAACATATTAGTATACAGGTTCTAAACATAGTAGTATACAGGTTCTAAACATAGTAGAATACAGGTTCTAAACATAGTAGTGTACAGGTTCTAAACAAAGTAGAATACGGTTTCTAAACATAGTAGAATACAGGTTCTAAACATAGTAGAATACAGGTTCTAAACATAGTAGTGTACAGGTTCTAAACATAGTAGTATACAGGTTCTAAACAAAGTAGAATACAGTTTCTAAACATAGTAGAATACAGGTTCTAAACATAGTAGAATACAGGTTCTAAACATAGTAGAATACAGGTTCTAAACATAGTAGAATACAGGTTCTAAACATAGTAGAATATAGGTAAGGTTCTAAACATAGTATAATACAGGTTCTAAACACATAGTAGAATACAGGTCCTTATCAGAACAGGCAACAGCATAAATGGCCAGCTGGTGAAAGATTAAGTAGTATTTAAAGGATAAATTACCTTCTCATCTTCTTGACTTCGTTAATCCTCTGTTCAGTGGCTGTTCTACTGGCATATTGTCCCATCCGATCCTGTAATCTAACAAAAATTTACTTCTTCAGAGTTGTTATCAACAATATATTAATAAAAAATAGATTAACAAGGAAAATTATTGAAAAGTACTGAAACCACAATTAAAAAAATACGTTTTGAAAATATAAACATTGATACAGGGGGGTCACAATAAACATGGGAATTCAGTGAAGAATTCGATATTGTCTTTGTTATGAATAAGTATTGTAATACCTTTTTTCAAAAGCTGTAACATTATTATGTCTGCTAAAGTTTATTTTATTAAAACGGTAAATGGCTGTAAAGATGTACGTCTATAGTGTCTCCGCAAGATGAACAGTGAAGACGGACAAGTTTACTCTGTTTACATACTGTAATTATTTTTTTAAGTAGAACTGTATGAAGTCAAAACATAAACAAACAAATTGTAAACATATAGCAGACGAAAATCTTACGGATTACAGCTTTCTAGTATACTATACTACTATACTAAATCAAAGAATTTTTTAAAAAGACGATATCCAATTCGTCATTATATCCAATGTTTATTGGGACACCCTGTATCTAATACAAAGCTTTAAAAGCTTTAAAAGGATACAGTTGTTTAGACATGTCATTCTATAAACGGAGGAATAATTCCAGAAATATAGAATCAAGAAAAAAGAAAACTTTCTTTCTTCTCTTTATTTAATGTGCAGCGAAGACAAAAACTTTAAAATGCTATTAAAAGCTTTATATAAACTTCCCATAAAGATGTAGCAAGCCAAATCAATTTTTTGCCGGCAGAACTGTGAAAAAATCTATTTTTTAACGATTATGACGTATATATTTAACTCGATCACAATTGGGAAGGGGTTTTTTCCCCCCCCCCCCCCCACTGTAGTTGACATTTGAACGTTAAATCTTTTTCCCTTTTTAAACTTCATAGTTGAGAAAAATTTTCTAAATTTTTATTTTGAATGCAAATAAAATATTTATTCTTGAACATTTTTACAACTTACTTTTCGAATCGTCACTTGCACCCTAACCATTGAAGATAGAGGTTTTTTTTAATGAGCATTGAAAAGTTGGACTACGGACATGTTTCACAATCCCTATCTTAACTCTAGGGGCAAATTAATGGGGGGGGGGGGTAGAAACCTGCCCCTCCTCCCTGCCCCCCCCCCCCAATCTATATCAGACAAAAATAGCCAAATATTGGGATATTGTTAATTAAAAACAGGAGTTCCTGTTAACGACCGTGCGTCGTTTGTAAAATTTCAGAACGCAGATTAAGTATATTTTCAACAAAAGAAGCGATCATAATTACATATAATAGTATATTGAAAAGTTCTCAAGACGACATTTGATTACTTCTTGCGATGCGCCATATTTCGGGTTTAATTGTATGTCGATCTAGAATCAAGACATGATTGGAGATCCAACATCGTTAACGAACAATTATTTATAATATTTATAACCTCAAACATCAACAAATGGTATACATTTATACAATCGTTCATTACAAGAAACGGGAGGAAAATTTCAGGCATGAAAATTATTTTAAAAGATGGATAATTGAACCAATAATCCAGCTCCAAATCATTAATGTGCTGACCTTTAATGCAAAAAATGCTGTTTTTCTGTTATCGTTGGAGGGGGAAGGGGGGGGGGGCATCAATGGAATAAAAATTTTAAAAATTTCCTATTTGTTGGAAAATTCTCCATCTCATCTCTTTTAATCAAAATAAATCATTTTGTCAACTTTCCGATTTATATCTCCGCAATACTCCATTTCTCAGTCACCCTCTCCTTCATAGAGATGGACGCGTTCGGATTTTATTCAATTCGTTGATTCGTCGTTCGTTAATGACCCTTTTTTCTTAGTCCTTTAGAATAATTTTAATCAGTTCCTTTTCAAGAATTATCTCGTTCATTTTTCATATTTTTTGTTAGTTTTTTAACGAACGATTTATAAATCGTTCATGAACGTCTCCTTAACCACCCCCCTCCCGCCTCCGTCTCCCTCCAGCCTATATTCATGAATAGTAATTTTAGTTTTTACAGGAAGTGACCGAGTCTGTCAGATATAATTTTTTTATTTAAAGAAAATATTTCCTCTTAGTGGCGGCGTAGGATCCCCCCCCCCCTGGAAAAATTACAGGGGCGCAAATCGGGAAAGGGGGCAGCTTCAAGCTCACTACCGGACAGAATTACTTGGCTATAATATTTAGGAAAAATCATCACAAAAATCCAGAATCTAAATAAAACTATTTTTCGTATACTTTTGTAAAACTGTTGAAAAATTTGTTATCCGCCCTCTCTGCAAATTGGACAGAAGGATAATGTCAAATTCATGCGACATCAGCGGTGCGACTTTGTGACCTCGTAGCTCCTAAAGTATTATCTTTTGCGCGCAAGTATGAGAAAGACAAATTCATCCGGCTACATCGTTGGGCTAGATATTAGAAATTCAAAATTATTTTGTTCTTCTCGATTCCTCTTTAATACAGAAGTTATGTCGGAAAATATTGAAAATTTCAACCTTCTTAATTCACTTTAGTTTGATATATCCCCTTTCATGAAAACTATATTTTAGTTTGATATATCCCCTTTCATGAAAACTACATTTTAGTTTGATATATCCCCTTTCATGAAAAACTACATTTTAATTTGATATATCCCCTTTCATGAAAACTACATTTTAGTTTGATATATCCCATTTCATGAAAACTACATTTTAGTTTGATATATCCCATTTCATGAAAACTACATTTTAATTTGATATATCCCATTTCATGAAAACTACATTTCGTTTACTGCATGCTGTGTTCTTGCTTAAACCTTTTAGTATTCAACTCCTTCACGACTTTTATAACTTTTTAATCGTTTTTATACCAAACTTTTTGATGAAAAAATACCCCCCCTCCCCCCCGCCCAGGGTGTGTAGAACAACGGAAAGAACTGTTGAATTTAAAATTTAAATCATTCGGACCATGGAATGGAATGGAAAGAAACTCTCATAGTTCTGTTTAAAAAGAGTACTGCAGTTTATTGGAGGAATGGAATAACAAACACAATCTATTTATCACAATATATCTTTATTAAAACAATCAATTATTTACAGTTTTACCGTTTCATTTTGTAAATTCTACTGTGTGCGAAAAACGTTCATAGTTATCAAACTGTGAAAATGCTTGAAAGTATCATTGATTCAAATCTGTGAAATTTCTCAAAATAGCGATATGTTGCAAAACGTGATTTGTGCCCAAACTTTGCATTTGCTTCAAAATGTGCGGATTATATCTATCTCTGCTAAGGAGAGTATGCATCGAGAGTAACTCGACTTATTAAAGAACCTTGGTATGCACATTGTACACTACTGTATTACAGACCTGGTGTAAATTGCCGCGTTAGCCAATGAAACTGTAAGTACAGGCACAACGTACTGTACAACTAGAATTATGACTGTATTTACTCCAGACAGAACAGATTCTGATGTCTTCTGAAAAATAAAGATACAGGGTTACCCACAAAGGATGAGACTATAAAGACGACCCACAACTAAAAAAATATGAAGATTTTCTGATGAATACATAGATACATAAAAACATAGATTTAAATTTAGTTTATGAGAAGTTGTTTATGTCAACTAAAGATGGTTTCCCCCGCTAAGTTGAAGATGCGTGAAGTACTCCCGACATTGTTGGAATTACTGTATTTGCGGATTTTTGGTTTTTGATTCGTAGATTTTCTGGTAAAATTTCATTTACACTACAATAAAAATTTTTAAAATTTTTAAATAGGCGAGCTGTTGTTACATGGCAAAATGTTACTTAGACGAGTTGTTACTGAGCCCTATTATGCTAACACAAATTGGGCTCAAACTTATGAATTTAATAGTTTCAGCATGAAACTTGTCTTACCTCAAGACATCTCGGAGCCAGGTTTTTCATTTTCATTTCATCCAGAATAAAGTTGATTTGATTCAACACTAGATGTCGGGCCTCAAACTTAACAATTTGATCATTCTAAAAATAAACTGACTTCCAATAATCATTATTTGAAAAAATATTAATTACCTGATTGATTTTGTCCAGATTATCCACCATATCAAACTCGTACTCCATCGTCTCATTATTCCTAGAAAATCAGCTGTTTATATGTTATGTACAAGGTACACTGTACAGTTAAAAACCGTTTTTTTTACATCGTTTATTGCGCGGTTATCTAGGCTTCCGTGTGTGGCGTTACTTTACAATTAGCGTTAGAAATTGTTCATATAGTCTCTACGCAACGGAATTTCTGCGGCAACTGCGCTAATTTTTCTGAATGTGAACAAAAGACAAGACTGAATTAGAAGGGAGAAGGAAAGGTGGGTTTTTGTGGTTGTGGATGTGGGGGGGGGGGGAAAGAGAGGATAAAAACGGAGCCTTCAAATATTTCTCTTAAAACCTAGTTCTCCTTAAACCGAAAGAATATTTGTATTTTCACACAACCCAGTGTCAATTCTATTCGCTAATTTCAATTTCATCACTATCTTTTTAACTCAAGATATTTCGATTTAAGATAAATAATCTAATTTGATTTGATTGGTTGTTTACATTCAGAAAAATGAGCACGGTTGCCGCGGAAATTCTGTTGCGTAGGGACTAGAGACTATGGCCATTTTTTAACGATGACCAGAAAGTAACACAACACTGGGCGCTTAATAATGATATATAGGGTTTGAACTAAAAGATAAATGCCACTTTTCAATTTAAATCCAATTTCATTGGAATTTATTGGAATTGAGGGTATTAACAGTTTCTCATCCGTGACAAATTGGTTTGGGTTGAAAAATAAATGTTATATTTTAATGTTACTGGAAAGGAACTGAGTTTTTGCCACAAACTCAAATATTCTTATCCCTATATCTTGGCAACCCAATGTCGTAGACCTTAGATATTTCAAACTATTAATTCTGTTAGATCAAATAATCTAAGTTTGAAATATCAAAGGTTTATACCCACTGGTTGCAGAGATATAGAAATTAGAAAATTTGAGGTTGTGGCAAAAACTCAATTCCTTTAAAAATATTTTCTGTATTCACCCATTCATGCAAAAATAAAAATTTCAAACAAAAATATGGAATCAGGGCTTGGCAATGTTTCCTTAATTAACGACCGTTTTTTTAATTATCTGTAGATTCCTTTGACAAACACCAAAAACTCTTAATTTTAAGATCGCTAACACAAGAAATTATTCAATCATGAGAAATTTTGAGAAATTTTTCAGCCTTAAATTGCATTACACATACTGAAAATAGAGACAAGTAATAGCGTGTTTTGATGTTTTTGCATGTTGAACGTGTTGTCATGGTTTGGGTTGAAAAATAAATTTTATTTGTATTCAATTCAAAGTATTTGTAAACTTTGCTCTCATTTATTTTTATTGATATTGAATTGTAGTTAGGGCTGGGTACGTTCAAACTTTTTATAAACCGCGTTCGTTAATGGTTGGTTAAGATCACAGTATGGGCTTTTTTTCAGGTATCTTTTATTTTATTTTTATCTTGTCTCTATTTTCAGTATGTGTTTTGCAATTTAAGGCTAAAAGATTTCTCTAAAGCCGCCGTTTTTTAAAAAAGGGATCAAATCTTTTTATTTTCATAATCGGATTATTTCTTGTAATCTTAAATTAAGAGTTTTTGGTGTTCGTTAAAGGAATCTAAAGGTAATTAAAAAATAAAACGGTCGTTAATTAAAGAAGCATTGCCGAGGCCTGATTCCACATTTTTGTTTTAAATCTTGTTTTAAATCTTGTTTTAAATCTTGTTTTAAATCTTGTTTTAAATCTTGTTTTAAATCTTGTTTTAAATCTTGATTTTTGCATGAAAATATTTTTAAATTTCCAGTAACATTAAAATAAAAATGTTGTCAGCAATGTGACAAAGGAAATTTTCTAGTTTTCATCGTAGAATTTAGATTACGCTAGCTGAAGGGCCCGGCGTTGCCCGTGGAAAAAGATGGAGTTTTTAGCCTATGTCACTCCCAAGCTATACCCTTGAGTGTCCACAAAAGAATTCAACCCATTCGGTCCAGCCGTTTGGCCGGCTATAGGGAACTTATACGTCTTGTTATATTATATATAGAGATGATTTGAATTGAGGTGGTGTTTAGAAATAAGATCTGGATCGGACTTTTTAATTTAATTTACTTGTTCTAAAAAATTATAATAACAATTTTTTAAAAAATATTTTGGTTTGTTGTGCCATACAATTCTTTGAACTAAAATGTTCTCTTTATTAGGAAGGTTCAAGTCTTAAATTTTATATGGTCCCAAGGCTTAGCACGTCCAACCCAAATAATAGTGGTGAATTTAATTTTATAAAATGTTTGTGTACTTGTATTGATACAATAGTTATTTCTAGATTTAACTTTTTGACAAGGCGTAAATCAGAAAAAAATCTATTAATTTTAAAAAGTAATTTAAGAAATATCTTTTTTTTAAAAGAAAATGTATATTATAATATTTATCATGAAGTAAAGTCAGTCGCCACTTATCTGTATACTGTAACAGTGGGCGAGTTTTGTTGATCTTTTACGATCAGCAATTCAAGGATGTTTTGGATCGCTGAGATCATAGCTACCAAGAAGTTTGTATCTTTTGTATATAAATATATTGTAAGAAAAACCGACTCGTTGAATATTTGAGAAACTTAGTGCATTGCTTTATTGATTTTTATTCATATACTATAATACATTAAAACTTTAAAAAATATTTTTTGCAGATTTTTCTATTTTCCTCTGCGTTTTTTTAATAAAATTGAAATTAATTATTATTATTTTCTGTTTTCCATTTACTATAAATTTACAAAATACAAAAAAATCAGAATTTATTTTAACCTCTACAAAATCTTATTCTAAACTCCAATATTTCTTTTACAGTTTAGTTCACAAAATGAGGTTTCATTAAGTTGCGAAACATTCAAATTATTTAAACGTAGGTCGATAAATTAGGTATGAAATTTGAAATTTTATTAGCAGGGTGAAAAAGTTACTTTTTTGGTCCTTTTGAAGGCGAAAAAGTCACTCAATCACCCTACAACGGGAAATATTAGCTGTGATAAATTTCATCAAAATTGAATAAAACATATTTTTTGCAGATTTTTCTATTTTTCTCTGAGAATTTCAAATAAAATTAAAATTAAATTTTATTATTTTCTGTTTTCCATTTACTCTAAATTTACAAAATATAAAAAATCAGAATTTATTTTAACTTCTACATAATCTTATTCTAAACTGCAATATTTCTTTGAAAGTTTAGTTCACAAAATGAGGTTTCATTAAATTGACTGCAGGCGTAATTTTGGAATAATGTAAATTAAGTGCCTTGGCTTACAACTTAAATTACAGCTTAATAAAATCGAAATAAATTAAGGTTGTGTTTATTAAAGTGTTATTCCCTCAAAATAGTAATATACACTTTTAAAATCATAAAATCCCGTAAAAATGACACTTTTATAACTTTTAAATTCATACGCAAGAAAATTGTCAATTAAAATATTAGAATTTTTCAAAATTCTAACATTTATGAATAGGATAATAGAATTTTTCTAAATTCATCAATAAGAAAAATTTAATGAATCAATTTGAGGCAAATCGACCAAGGTCTTCATGAGTTATGCTCGGACAGACAAACAAATAAATGAAAGATTACTACTTTGATTATGCAGATGAATCTTTAGGTTACAATTTCGAATACGAAATCAGGTTCATAATGTTTTATGAAAAATTAAATTAATTTTAAGAAAAAATAATTAATAAAATTGGTTGCTGAACAAGCAATACTAAACTTATCATAAATCTTATTTGGTAAAATAAACTTTTTCTCGTTCTATTGAATGTTAAAATCCTTTAGCATGCAACTGGAGCTAAATTAAAAATATTAATCTGAAGTCTTAACAAAAATATGATTAGGATAATCTTTTAAAACTAGATTATTTGGATTTTCGTCTGAAATAATTACATAAAAATTAGAAATTCGTAGAAAAACCCACATTGAATTAACCCTTGAAACCTTAATCTTAATTAATAATGTGGAACACTGATTCAAAATTCAAAATGTTTCTGAATCAAGAATTGCACGGATCAACTTTGTAGATCAAGAAACCTCAATGAAAAATAATCAGTTTAAAAAAAGCATTGTTGTGGGTAACCCTGTATACTATTTAACTTTGTACATTAGTATTTGTATGCAGATTGCACAGTGGTTTAGTTTACTTGAGTAACCTTATGCTAATTCACGAGTTTAATTTAGATCTGGGCAAAGTTTGTTACGGAACAGAAGTTTTTAAAAATGACAAAATTAACATTAACAAATAAGTAGTTTTTAGAGCTAGTAGTTTTTACGTACATGCTTTTGCGCTATTTTAACTAACGGTTTACGAACATATAAAAAGGGTGTTCAATATTCTGTTTAGTTCCCAGAACTACTTAATGTTTATTTTAAATCAACATAGCATTTAAATGTTAAAGGTTAAACAATTTTAGAGAATAATAATTTAGAATTCCAATGAAAACAGGTTGATGTATATACAGAGCTTGCATCCCATATCTTGGATTATCTTCAAGCTTTAACGACAAAATACTTAAAAAAACCTAGTTTTCTCTACATGCAAATTTTTAACTCTAAAATTAATTTTAACATGATTAATTCTTTTTAAATTTTCTGATTAGTCCCGAAAAAAAAAACAATTTAAAGCTATATATGATGTGGGACACCCTGTATCTTTATGTAGCTATAGCTAAGGTATTTCAATAACATAAATTAAACTTAATTTTTTTAATCTAAAATAAAGTAAGCATACACAGAATGTAAAAATTAAAGATAAAGTAAATTGGTACTATGTTAACATCATTAATCAGATCAAATACAGGGTATCGCATGAAACATGACAGTTTGTGCATAGTTTTAAATGTCTTCTTCCATATACTGAATTAGATATTATAGACTTTTTGCAGTTTATTTATTTTAAAAAATCTTACATTCAAATATATTTTACTTTGAAATCAATTTTACTATAATATGGCTGGCATGAAAATTTTTATATTATTCTCTTGGGGTTTAAACAACTTAACAAACTATGGAACTGTCATGTTTCGTGGGACAACCTGTAGATTATCAAGTACAAAGTACAATTGGTGGTATTGAAGAATACGAATACATTCAGTACACTAGCTGTATTTACGTAAAACACACTGATGACTTTTGATAATTTAGTAACAAATATGGATTTTAAGAAAACTTTCTCGAAAAAATGCGAAATTAACGCCAACCAAAACATGCCTAATCTCTTGAAAATAATATATCAAACTATTGTATTTGATAAGCTATTTGGAAAAATTTGAACTATTTGGTTTTTTTACCTTTTAATGATGCTAGAGAGAGCTTCCATTTGTTCAAGAGCTGTTTGGTTTACATCCAACTATGGGACAATATATTCAGAATAGCAGGGGGGTATGGGGCTATCCCACCCCCCTCTTATAGAGTCAACGAAGGTTTACTCCCCCCCCTCTCCTTTTGGACAAATTTATCAATTTCTTTAGAAATAACAAAAAAGTTGTATTCATGGAAGGGGGTATGGGTGGGGGCTCAGCCCCCCCCCCTGGATCAGTAAAATCTTTGTGCTACCCCCCCCTGGATCNCCCCTGAAATAACTAAGTGAGAAAGAATGATACAGTGCACAATATTGTAAAAGGAATAAAGCCCCCTAAACAATATTGTAAAAGGAATAAAGCCCCCTAAACAATATTGTAAAAGGAATAAAGCCCCCTTAACAAATTCCTCAATACGTCCCTGATTATATTTTCCTTTCAGATAAAACAAGTATCTAGGATATTTGGCTTAGTAGACTAATAATAGGAAAAAATATCTTAAAATCGATATTATGAATGTCGCAGGATGTGATATATTGATAAAACTATTAGAAAATATCATTCCAGATTGATTCTTTATAGTATATATATTCTAAATTAATATATATATATATAAACTGTTAAGAGTCTTTAGGACTATAAAATATATATATGTATACTGTTAATAGACTTTAGGACCATAGGACTTAATCTTTAGTGAAATCTGATTATTTTCTTTTGTGGCGTTTCTGTAAATTGTGAATTCATGCAGACTTAAAAATGACGATATCTTCCACATCAGATCATATCAGGTTTAAAAGGTTCCATTGTGAATCTTTTATTTAGTTGTTGTATAACAGTATAATAACTCCTTTGTTTATTTAGTTGTATAACAGTATAATAACTCCTTTGTTTTCTTTCGTTGTTGTTACTAATCCCTTGTTTAATTTAGTTGTTGTATTACAATCCCGTTTTTTTGTGGTTGTATAAAACTCCCTTTGTTTTATTTAGTTGTTATAAATATTAATATATAATATTAAATTAAGACTAGTATAGTTGTCTCTTTATCTAGTTATCTAGTTATCTAGTTATCTAGTTATCTAGTTATCTAGTTATCTAGTTATCTAGTTATCTAGTTCTCTAGATAATCTCATTGTTTATTAAATGTCTGAATATATTTATATTTCCTTGTTGCTATATCGTTCCACCATAGAAGAGAACTCCAGCTCGCTTTCCATTAAGGATTCACCAGGACTTTAATAAAGGTCATATACAATATATTATTAATTATATATTGTACATCCTCTTCAGGACTTAAATATAGAAAATCACATTATACATCATCTACAGGACTTAACTATAGGACATATTCATTGCACATCCTCTTAAATGTATGTACATTTAAACATCCCTTTCAGGTCTTAAATATGGGACATATACATTAAATTTCCTCTTCAGAACATAACTATGGGACATATACAGTATACATCCCCTTCAGGACTTAAATATAGAAAATATACATTATACATCACCTACAGGACTTAATTATAAGACATATTCATTGCACATCCTCTTTAGGACTTAAATATAGAAAATTACAATATACATCACCTACAGGACTTAATTATAGGACATATTCATTGCACTTCCTCTTAAATGTATGTACATTTAAATATAGGACGTATATACATTAAACATCCCTTTCAGGTCTTAAATATGGGACATATACATTAAATTTCCTCTTCAGAACATAACTATGGGACATATACAGTATACATTCCTTTGAGGACCTAAATATGGGTCATTTACATTATACATCCCTTTCAGGACTTAATTATAGGACATATATACATAAAACATTCCTTTCAGGACTTGAATATGAGACATTATATTTCCTCCTCAGGACATAACTATGGGACATAGACATTAAACATCCCTTTCAGGACTTAAATATATACACATATACATTATGAATTCTCTTTCATTCTATTTTAAAGGTTCATATAATCTTTTTTTTTTGAAGAAACGTTTTAATGGTTTTGAGAATTTACATTTTAGCATGAAACTTTCATCTTCTTTCATTCTAACTTTTCTCTTATATTAATAGTTTAAATATATCAATTATTCATATTCTAAAACCTTCTTTCTAAAAGTACTAAAAGAATACATTGTTTACTTTAAGAATTATATTTACCTTCTGAATTCTTTCACTATTCCTAGGGGAGAAACTATCCCTAATTCACAAAATAATAATAATAATAATAATAATAATTATAGTGAAAGTGATAATAATAAAAATAATATTAGGAATATTAATAATAATAATAATAATAATGATAATAATAATAATCAATATTGTTCCTATAGCAATGAACCAAAGTATGGGTATAAGTCTACTAGGACTGCTGAAAATAAATCTATTATCAAACTAAAATAAGTAATTTTGATGAGCGGATTATTGGTAACTTATAATTTGGTAACTAACATTTTGGTAACTAAAAATTTGGTAACTAATAATTTGGTAACTTGACAAGTTTGTAATTAACAATTTGGTAACTAACAATTTGTTAACTTGACAATTTGGTAACTTGACAATTTGGTAACTAATAATTTTGTAACTTGACAATTTGGTAACCTAACAATTTGGTAACTTGACAATTTTAGTTATTTTTTAGTTAATTTTTTAGTTACCGTGCATTGTTAACCGGAAACCAGGGAAATAGGAAAAAATTCGCCAAAAATTTCGCATTTTTCGCGTTCCGTTCGTTGAAAATAAAATGCAAAAAAAAAAAAAAATGCGTAAAAATTTGTTTGCGAAATTTTTTAACATTATTGCAATTTATCGCGAAATTTTGCAATTTACTGAAATTCCGCTTCCTTTTGCGAAATTCATTGTTGCGAAATTTCGCGAAAAAGTTTGCGAAATACGAAAGACAATTTTCGCAATTTTTTTAACTCTAGAAACCCTAACGGAAACCCTTGAAAAGGAGAAAAACGAGACCAGATGTCTAATTACCTGGTGACTGTACTTCCAACAGATGGCCAACAGATGATCAAACACCTGTCAACAGCTATAGCTGTAATGGACAGCGAAGATATGAGAACAAATAGCGCCTGAAAATGTTTAAAAGGAAAAGAAAGAGGAATGTATATTGTATATTGTATATTGTATATTGTATATTGTATATTGTATATTGTATATTGTATATTGTATATTGTATATTGTATATTGTATATTGTATATTGTATATTGTATATTGTATATTGTATATTGTATATTGTATATTGTATATTGTATATTGTATATTGTATATTGTATATTGTATATTGTATATTGTATATTGTATATTGTATATTGTATATTGTATATTGTATATTGTATATTGTATATTGTATATTGTATATTGTATATTGTATATTGTATATTGTATATTGTATATTGTATATTGTATATTGTATATTGTATATTGTATATTGTATATTGTATATTGTATATTGTATATTGTATATTGTATATTGTATATTGTATATTGTATATTGTATATTGTATATTGTATATTGTATATTGTATATTGTATATTGTATATTGTATATTGTATATTGTATATTGTATATTGTATATTGTATATTGTATATTGTATATTGTATATTGTATATTGTATATTGTATATTGTATATTGTATATTGTATATTGTATATTGTATATTGTATATTGTATATTGTATATTGTATATTGTATATTGTATATTGTATATTGTATATTGTATATTGTATATTGTATATTGTATATTGTATATTGTATATTGTATATTGTATATTGTATATTGTATATTGTATATTGTATAAGTAAGTCTAGGTGTCCATTAGAATATGGCTTGTCATATTTGCTTGACAACGGTACCCTGAGGAAGAAGAAGATATCGTATTTACCATCAAGCTCTCTTCTTAAGATGTGGAATAACCTGCCTCTTGACTCAAAAAGAAGCAACTCTACAAGTATATTTAAAAATAGACTACTAAATTCTCTTTTTGAAAATTATAGGACAATGTGTTATAAAACGAATTGCTATTCATGTAAAACTAATTAGATATGTTTTAATATGCTTTGATATTTGTTGTGTACATGTCAGAAAATTACTTTAAACTCTAGTTATTCTAATTAATGTATACTTTTTTGCATATGATAAAATCGCACCCTGATCTCTAATAGTTCTCCTTAAATCTATTTAATTGAAATGTGTTGTTATCATTTTTGAAATTAGGTGGAAAAAATAATCAAAACAGCCAAGAGCTATTTTCCACCTAATTGCTTTATACTTGTACTGTTAATATAATCATCAATTTGTAATTGTAAACTCGTTCTGTATACAGATACATGTATTCTAGCATTAAACTTTATCTTATCCTATCTTATCTTATCTCATCTTAGATTTTCTGCCTTTAAAAGATATTATAATTTATTTTTATTTTTTTCTCTGTTGCAAAATTACGGAGGTCACTTTTAAAATAGTGTAATTTGAATTTTCTTTAACTTGTGCTAGAAACATAAATTTTGCAGATTTAAACAGTTTTTTTTCCAAGAATGGGGGGAGGCTATGGGTTCGAGCCCCCTCCCTCCATGGACGAATTCATTTATACGCCAAATAGTACATTCTTGAATATTGACATATCTTAGGATCTGATATTTCAATACAAAAATTTCTTTTTTTCCAAGTCTAGAAAATAGATACTCTTTCTCATCGAGAGGAAACCTTTACGCCAGAGCATAAGTCACACAAATAACGATTGTTTCCCTCTGAAATGAATTAAAAGTAACATTTTAGGTGACACTCAATTCTCGATTTAAAACAGTAATCTTTATCCGAACAACGATGAATAAGATATTTTAATGTATCAATCTATCTACTCCAAAAGTAAATAAAAATATCTAAAAAATGAAAAAGTGCTTGCACACAAAGTAATTAATAATTGCAAATACTTCTGCAGATAATAATAGTCCTCACACCTCATCCACGTGAAGGATCCCTTAAATACTTCTGCAGATAATAATAGTCCTCACACCTCATTCACGTGAAGGATCCCTTAAATACTTCTGCAGATAATAATAGTCCTCACACCTCATCCACATGAAGGATCCCTTAAAATTATGTTTGTAGCCCCTTTAAGTAAAAAAAACGGATTAAAAACCGGATTAAACAACGGATTAAAAGCGGATTAAAAAACGGATTTCAAAAACAGATTAAAAAACGGATAAAAACACGGATCAAAAAATGGATAAAAAATGGATTTAAAATTCGGATTATAAAACGGATAAAAAACGGATTAAAAAACGGATCAAAAAACGGATTAAAAAAATGGATCAAAAAACGAATTAAAAAACGGATTTCCATAACTCAGTATAACTATGCAGCAGAATGATACTAATTAATATGATAATTTTTAAACTCGGGGATAGTGATTGAGATCTAGCCAAGACGAATTAGAAATTTGTCTATTTTCTTTCTCTAATAAAACAAATATTATCACTAAAGTCTGTTTTTTGTGAACATTTTTGGTTACGCATGTTTTAACGAATATTTTTTTTCTTTCAACCGCTGCATTCACAATCTTGTTGCCACAGAAATACATGTTAACAGTGGTTGCAGACAACAACAAAAATATTGTAATTGTGACATCAGTTAAAAGAAAAAAGTAATGGAAAACTTGTTCAGCACATTATAATATTAAAGGCGTGTATTAGAAAATAAATAGTGATATGCGGTTAGTTTTTTTCGTCTTGTTTTTTCACAATATTTTCTCTCAGGGCCAAAATTTGGCATAATGTAAAGAAAGCAAATGTTTTTTTAACAGTTTATCATAAACTTTTGTTATTCTTACACTTTCCCATATGACTACCCTTACAGAAGATATATAAAGATACAAAGTTTAACAAAAACAGCTGTATTAGAATCCAGGTTTTAACTAAGATTTATTATTTATTTTTTTAAACGAACCAAAACCATTAACAACACTAAAGATGAGTAGCTAGTGTTAACGTTTTCACTTTTTTTAAACAATCGTTTCGTTATGAAAACGACAACGAAAAATTAAAAAAAGGAAACGATAGTTTTTAAAAACGATTAACAATCCTAGACTAGCAAGATATACCTGGAGAGGTTGTTGAAGACTGCAGAGTAGAGGACTGTTTCCCCATTGCCAGTTCTGGTAGGTTACCTCTACCTTTAGGGTTTAAAGGGTTAATATTTGCCAGTTCTGGTAGGTTACCTCAACCTTTAGGGTTTAAAGGGTTGATATTTGCATTTATTGTTTTTAAGATTTAAAGGGTTCATATTTGCATACCTCAACCTTTAGGGTTTAAAGGGTTAATATTTGCCAGTTCTGGTAGGTTACCTCAACCTTTAGGATTTAAAGGGTTGATATTTGCATTTATTGTTTTTAAGATTTAAAGGGTTCATATTTGCATTTATAGTTTTTTAGGATTTAAAGGATTCATATTTGCATTTATAGTTTTTAGGATTTAAAGGATTCATATTTGCATTTATAGTTTTTAGGATTTAAAGGGTTTATATTTGCATTTATAGTTTTTAGGATTTAAAGGGTTTATATTTTCATTTATAGTTTTTAGGATTTAAAGGGTTTATATTTGCATTTATAGTTTGTTTAGGATTTAAAGGGTTAATATTAGCATTTATAGTTTTTAGGATTTAAAGGGTTAATATTAGCATTTGTAGTTTGTTTAGGGTTTAAAGGGTTAATATTAGCATTTATAGTTTTTAGGATTTAAAGGGTTAATATTAGCATTTATAGTTTTTAGGATTTAAAGGGTTTATATTTGCATTTAAAGACTGTCATTGCTAGACAAGGTAGTTGAGCTGAAAATGCAGTAGTTTAGATAAATTTTGTAGGATTTAATTGTTACTAGGGGGTTGAAATCAAGAATTTAGTGATTAAAGGGTTTGTCCTTTATCCATATAATAAAACAAAACATTCGTTTCCGACTGGGCTAACATTTGTTTAGGGGAACCTACGGGTGTCTCGGCTTTAGCATGGGCTTAAAGAATTCGAAATTTGTTTCTTCAAAAAAAAAATTTTTTTTTCAAAGATTTTAATTTTTTTTAAATCAATTTTTTTTCTTCAAATTTTGAATTAAAAAAAATTCCACGGGCAACGCCGGGCTCTTCAGCTAGTACGTTATAAAAGTCTTATAAGTTTGCATTTGACCATATGATGTTCTTTCAAGTCCCAGGGAAAAGAGACTTCTTAATGTAATATTCTTTGGTATTAAAAGATTTAAAACTGGTTAAATATGTTATATTTAGTATGGAAAGCTTTTTATTTAAGATTTAAATAAAATTATTTCTTCAAACAAGAGCAAACATCTCAATTTAATCAGTTTATGTGACTCCAATATACTTTTACATTTTACATTTATCAAAAACATTTTACCAATATTTTCTGACAGGGGAAAGGGGTGGGGATCATTTTTGTTTTAATGTAAGCTTTACAACCCCCCCCCCCACATCCCAAATTCTTATATTTACCAATGTAAGAGGCATTGTGAGGAGACACAGACAGAAATCTGACACAGCAAGGTTGGCCACAAACACATTCCTTAATATTTTTATATTTATATATACTCTGTTTAAGGGCCCTTTGCGCCCATCTTCTATTTCATTTGTAAACATTTTCTCTTTGAATACATTAAAAAACAAAAACAAGATTTGCGGATTTTATAAGAAAAAATTTTGTCGATTTTTTTTTTTAATTTGCAAAAATCGAATTTTGTTAGGAGCACATTTTTGAAATTTTAATCATCCATAAATCTTCCTTGGGGTCACGCGAGGTCCCACAAAAAAATTGGGCCTGTAAAGTTCAGCCGAAACAAAGAAATAACAGCCGAAACACAGAGGCAAAGGAAACTTTTGTGGAGTATAATCCACCAAAACAAAATCCGAATAAAATTTGTTAAAACCCACATTTATATATATATATATTTACAGTATATACAGTGATAACCAGAAAACTGTTGAAAAGAAAGACCGCATCTTAGAGCTAAATTGAATGTATTTGATAATGTTCCAAAGCAAATAGTTTTTCTAGAAACTTATTAAATCATGTATTACGGGAAACGGGTCTGGTCACACTTCTCAATATTTTTGGCTCATTAGACTATTTATAGTCATAGATTCAGTATAAAAGTCGTCTTCCTATTCTCACTGAAAATTAGCTCAACTTTGTTTCTTTAAACATTTTCAAACTTAAATGATTTTTCTCATTGAAATAAATAAAAGTTCCAAATTATTATAGTTTCAGTTTTAACATGGTTGTTGGTTTCCTTCCACATTAAAACTTGACTTAACTCAATTAGAAATTAGACATTGTTCAGAAATAACAAAGAAGAAATACAATAATACAGTCGTCGTATATATCAATACAATAAAGACGATTTTCAATGTTAATTTTGACTTCTACCGAGCTTTCAAACCACATGGATACACATAAATATGGAAACAAAGAGCTAGCTGTGAATTCTACAGCCTCTCTTTGTTTACTTGTAAACTTGTAATTTGAAAAAAGATTGGTAGAAATCAAAACTTAAATCGAAAATTCGTCTTCATTGTATAGATATAAATGCCGAGCATGAAAAATGAACAATTAGCTATTACAATCCTATTGCTCATCGCGTTACATGTGTTGATACTGTTTTACACTAAACACCTTAAAACTGTCTTATCAGATCAACAGATGCTTGACCTCAGACCTCCCATCCCCCCCTGGTTGTTTATTATCACCTTGCTGTTCTAAGTGCAGGGGTTCTAAGAAGAAGGTACAAAACCAGAAGGTTCCCAGTAACTCCAGCTAAACATGAATATAAAACTAAAAACAGAAACAGCCAAGTCAATATCATATTAAAAATGTGTGGATTAAGATGGTCCACTCCAAACTTCAACAGGTACAATAAAGTATGCAAATAAGCAGTATGATCTCCAGCATCCACCTCTTCAAGTCAGTATCATCGCTTGATCTGACTCCCCAGTGGAGGGGGGGGNGGCATCGGGCCCCCGTCTCAAGTTTCATAAATATATTTTAAAATATTTGATTTTCTATATGTAATGTATGCTTGAGACAAATATATATATTTGATATTTGACTTCAGTTCTAATGATATAATTACCATCAAAATCAATAATAAAAACACTATACGTGAGCTAGCTTAAAAGAACCACAGGCGTTGAACCTACATTTTTAGAGGAGATTTATGGGAATTTTAGCGGAGAAGAGGTTTAACTAGATATAGCTAATTAAACCACTTTTCTAGTCTATTCTTCAACACCAATTTTACAACTGTTCATTGACTACGACCTCAGATCTGAGCTACAAACATGATTCGTTTTCTGGTGAGATTATAACCGGTTTCAGTTGATCCTGACCTTGATATGTTCCCAGAATTTACTAAAATCATGTCCGGATCAATTCTTAATCCGACTTTTAGACTTTAAACTGCATGGTAGCACTGATCTGGAGGAGATGATCCCAGAACTTAAGTCCAGATCAAAATTTTTTTAGACTTGTAGCGCTGATCCAGAGATTATCCCGGAATTTACTCAGATAAAGTCCAGATCAAACTGAATCCGGAGATGATCTCAAAATTTTCTAAATTCAAGTCAAGATTAAACCTAATCCAACAATTTTGGACTTGTGACACTGATGGCATATAAACTAAGCCCCCCAAAAAGAATTATTTGTAAAATTAATTTTCTTTAAAATATTTTAAACTGCTTTAAAGATTATAACATCAAAACTATATTAAACTTAGAAATTTAAATCCGACATATTTTAAACATTGAAATCAAAACATATTTCAGATTTAGAACATCTATTTCGAACTATTTATATGGTTCAATTTTTTATAAAGTTTTTTATAAATATATGAATACATATACTACCAAAGAGTAAAGTACAGAATCTGTTTTAAAAAATATTTACATTGTTCACCAAAATATCCTAATATACACATAAATATTATTCAGTAAGAAAACACAGTTATCCCTTATCTTACTTTATGGAAATAATATTGTTTTGATATGTACAAATATATAAAACTTGAACTGCAAGATGTTCGCCCCTTGTAAAAATATATAAGACTTGAACTGCAAGATGTTCGCCCCTTGTACAAATATATAAGACTTGAACTGCAAGATGTTCGCCCCTTGTACAAATATATAAGACTTGAACTGCAAGATGTTCGCCCCTTGTACAAATATATAAGACTTGAACTGCAAGATGTTCGCCCCTTGTACAAATATATAAGACATGACTGCAAGATGTTCGCTCCTTGTACAAATATATAAGACTTGACTGAAAGATGTTCGCCACTTGTACAAATATATAAGACTTAAACTGCAAAATGTTCGCCCCTTGTACAATATATAAGACTTGAACTGCAAGATGTTCGCCCCTTGTACAAATATGTAAGACTTGAACTGCAAGATGTTCGCCCCTTGTAAAATATATAAGACTTGAACTGCAAGATGTTCGCCCCTTGTACAAATACATAGGACTTGAACTGCAAGTTGTTCGCCCCTTGTACAAATATATAGGACTTGAACTGCAAGATGTTCGCCCACTAAATGAAGATATTTTGTGTTTCATATTTTACACTTGTTTCAAAATACTACTGAAAATATCCCAACACAAAAAGGAAACACTGAGTTGTAAAATTGTCATTAGTTTTTCGTTAGTTTTACATCAGTTTTACATTAGTTTTACGTTAGTTTTACATTAGTTTTACGCTAGTTTTACATTAGTTTTACGTTATTTTTACATTAGTTTTTCGTTAGATTTACGTTATTTTTACATTAGTTTTACGGTAGTTTTACTTTAGTTTTACGTTAGTTTTATGTTAGTTTTACGTTAGTTTTACGTTAGTTTTACGTTAGTTTTACGTTAGTTTTACGTTAGTTTTACGTTAGTCTTACGTTAGTTTTACGTCAGTTTAATATTAGTTTTACGTTAGTCTTACGTTAGTTTTACGTTCGTTTTACGTTAGATTTACGTTAGTTTTACATTAGATTTACGTTAGTTTACGATAGTTTTACGTAAGTTTTACGTTATTTTTACGTTAGTCTCATCTTAGTTTAACATTAGTCTTACGTTAGTTTTACGTTAGATTTACGTGAGCTTTACATTAGATTTACGTTAGTTTTACGTTAGTTTTACGTTAGTTTTACGTTAGTTTTACGTTAGTTTTACGTTAATTTTACATTAGTTTTATGTTAGTTCTACGTTACTTTTATGTTAGTTTTACGTTAATTTTACGTTAATTTTATGTATTTATATCTATATATATATATAACTATAGTTTTTTAATGAACAAACGATTTGTTGAACGAACGATTTTACTGCACAATAGTTCAGTGAGAAAATGAACGATAATTTTGATAGCGAACAGAATAATTTTTTTTTGAACAATTAAAAAAACGAACGAATCAGGTCGTTCACGAAGGAATGAACGAGAAAAAATGTCGAACGTGCCGATTTTTACGTCTATGTAGTCCAAATTTAAAACTCGCTACAGCTTTTTTATACAAATGTTTTTAACCATATATTTGCAAAACCCTACAAATATATTTTTTTTATCTTAAGCGGAAAACGAGTCGCTTTGTTGAAAATAAGAAATTAATTTACAACTAAAAACACTGATTGGTTCTATTGTCCACTTATACTAAGCTGAGGGGAAAGTCTGTCTAAGATTTTTTACTTTTTACTGTTTTTTTTTACTTATTTTGACGGAGAAAACGTAATTTTAAGCTACTCTCCATTTATAAATTAGCAACTCCAATTAACAGCGATACCGTTAGAACCTCTGAAGCCGAATGAAAAGAATAAAATTGTATTAAATCTTTCAAGATTTTAGCTGGCGCTCAATTATAACCGGTTTTTGGGGATTTGAAACGCGGCTTAAATTCATTAAATTCGGACTCTGAAAGATGAAGATTTAAAAAGATTTTCATTGGCATTTAAGAAATGGATAAGTTAAAAATCAATTAATTGAGAATCCAATACTTTGTCAATTTAGAAAAGACGACGATAAATCAAAGGGTATTGACGTGAATCGGCAAGACCTTCTATAGAAGAAGCTTTTATTATAAGAGCATTTATATCTTTCACAAAAGTCATGTTAACTCTGTGACTATAATTGACTGAAGTCACTGCAAACAAAGATGCTCAAGCAGTATTTTTACAATTACTCCTTTTAAACTTCAGCCAGAAACAAGCACTTTGCAATCATAAAATTCAAATGTCCGGGGCTACAAAAAAGTATACGTGAGTTGGTGAGGTAAAACTAAAGGCAAAAGTAGAGGATGTCTAAAAATATGATGACTAACTTTCAGTGTTGTTTAGCTATCAGTGAATGTTCAAGCTTGAATACTTAATAATCTTTTAATCTTGGTAACCTGATGTCACAGGACTTTAGTATTTTTAGCTATGAATTCTGCTAGATCAGTTATTCACTGTTAGAAATATGTCAGGTTTACACCATCAGTAAACAGAGTTTAAGAAATAAGTTAATTTGAGGCAAATTTTCAGGTCTAATCTAATTTCTATTGACAGTTTTGATTATCAAGAATTAAATGAGCTAATTTGTTTTTCTTGTATCGACTAACAGTTACAACTTATAACATTTATATGTTTTATTCATGTATATACTTTACTCCTCGTAATATATATATATATATACTTTACTCCTCGTAATATATATATATATATCTTTGCTTGTATCTATTGTGTACAACTAAACTTGACAGTTAAATAATAAAACTGCTAATAATCAAGATTAAAATTTTACAACGTCATTCTTTCATAATTCGAAATTATTTCTACCAAACTCTGAAACTACTATTTTGAAGGTTAATGTAGTACATAAATCCAAATTTGCGAAATACAATTTTTAGAATTAAGAGTGTATAAGAAAACCAGAGATGGAATTTAAAAGAATTTGAGCCGCGGTTTAAATCTGCCAAACCCCGGTTTAAATTAAGCGCCGGCTTAAATCTTGAAACATTAGATACAATTTTAAGTGGAACCAACCATATTTAAGCCGCGGCTTAAATTTAAACCGCCGCTCAAATTCTTTAAATTCGGCCACAGATTACAGATGTTTTACACAACTCTATTTTTTACATGTTTCAGATTTCAGGATTTGAAAATCTTTAAATGTGATTTTCAAAATAAAAAATATTTGTCAGTATAAAGTAACAAAATCTACCAAACCTTATTTTGTAAAATTTTTATTAATTTTTATTAATATTTTTATTAATAGTATGTTAATTTAAACATAAAATTACAATTAACAACCTCTGTAAGATTTGGTAAGATTTAGAGCAGTTTTTTGCTGATTATTTTTCGCGGAATTTTTATCAAAAAATTTTACAAAGTTTAAGATTAGAGTAGAATAAACATTTTTTAATCGAGTTCTAAAAATTGTTTTGCACCAAAGAGATAGTTTTGTGAATTTGTTTTCTATTTTATACCGAAACACATTTATGCATTTGGTTAAACTTAATTTCATATTTTTCCTTCTAAAACACTATTTGTAAAATTAGGTTAATCTTTTTTTTTAACTTACCTGGCCCTGAGGAAATAAAAAAATAAAAATTATATTCAATGTTGAAAGAAAAAATGACATATTGTCAATTTTAAATTGGCAAAAGAAAGTATTAAAATTCAACATTTTATTCATATACACAATATGCATTTTAACCATCAATAAACATTTATATATAGATGATTAATGTCTTTTTGTACACCACTTAAAGTGCTCCAAAGGTTGGAAACCTTCACTCAAAAATTAATGAAATTTTTGCCAATTACTTCTTAAAACTAAAGCTAAAAATAAGTTCTGAGCTTTAAAATCTACGTGCTTAGAGCTAAAACAAAAGTGTAATTAAAGGGACTGTAAAGGGAAAATTAACAGGCTGAGCATTTTAGGAGTTGATCGAGACCCATAAGAGTTCTATTTGATCTTCTTGTCTCAAGAGATTGTTTTTAAACGGTGTAAAATATTTAATAATATTAGATTTAAACGGTTCATATTCAGCAAATACACAACTTACCTGAAAACAACAATATCCACTTTCTAAATTTTCATGGACGCTATGTTCTTTGGTAATAACAATTTTTAACAATTTTCTCCTAAGATTAGTAGCCATCACTATTGATAATTTTTACCTTTGCCTCTTTTCATTTTTGCGAACACTCCCTTTAAAAACTTATTGATATGTCCAATGTCAAGTGAATAATGAGTATTTGGACTTTACTTTTCTTTTTCCATTATTCAGCATATCTGACAGTAATAATAAAACATACATTACGTTCACACTCCACACTGAATCCAAATATATTTATAAAGAAAAACAAAAAAGGAATAAAGAAAAGCATTTCGGAATTTCTCAGATGTATTGTAATATTGCATGTTTTAAAGTAAGTTCCTTCTGAACAGGGGTGCATTCAGGGGGAGGCTTTAGGGGCATAACCCCATCCCCTTCCCAATTGTGCAATTAAAAACAATTGTTTCAAATGAGTATTATTGATTGTAGGGTTTTGAAACAGTTGAGCCCCCCCCCCCCTTCCACAAATTTCGGTTGTTTCCCCTGGTTCTGAATCAATTATCTAGTAGATAGTACATAGCTTAGTATATAGTAAGTATGTACTTAAAAACTAATCAGTAATGGAACTTGTAGATCTTTGTTTCAGATCTCTCTTTTGATCAAGAAATCCAAGGATTTTGTATTACCTAATAACGCAATGTCTAAAATAATTAAGGCACAAGTATTTAAATAATTTTCAAATTAAAAAATGTCCTATGCATATGACATTTCATAAAAAAATGATAGGGTTTTTTCAGTTATGGTAGTTTGTAGTTTTGTCCGTGTGTGAGTATAGGTCCGTTTGTATTTTACGTCCGCGTGAAATGTGTCTGTGTATAGGTATGTCCGAGTGTAGGTGTGCCCGTGTTTAGGTATGTCCGTGTGTCCGTGTTTATGTTTGTCTGTGTGTAGGTATGTCTATGTGTAGTTGTGTCCGTGTGTAGCTGTGTCTGTGTGCAGTTGTGTCTGTGTGCAGTTGTGTCTGTGTGCAGTTGTGTTTGTGTGTAGGTCTGTCTATGTGTAGGTCTGTCTATGTGTAGTTGTGTCCGTGAGTAGGTATGTCCGTGTAGTTCTGTCCGTGTTTAGGTTTGTCCGTGTGTAGTTTTGTTTGTGTGTAGTTGTGTTCGTGTTGGTATGTCCGTTTTCAATTGTGTCCGTGTGTTTGTATGTCCGTGTGTAGTTGTATCCGTGTGTAGATATGTCCGTGTAAAGTTGTGCCCGTGAGTAGGTATTTCCGTGTGTAGGTATGTCCGTGTAAAGTTGTGCCCGTGAGTAGGTATTTCCGTGTGTAGGTATGTCCGTGTAAAGTTGTGCCCGTGAGTAGGTATTTCCGTGTGTAGGTATGTCCGTGTAAAGTTTTATCCGTGAGTAGGTGTTTCCGTTTGTAGTTGTGTCCGTGTGTACCTGCAATAAGAAGAGAATAGAAGAAGATAAGAGTATAGAATGAAGATGGATAAACCCACATCGCTGTTGATGAAAATATCTAGAATTAAATCAAAATAACTTGTGATTTTTACATTTACAAAAAAGTTAAGTTTGGTAATGTTCGAAGTAAATTTTTACTATTCTAATATGGATCTTTTTCTTACCCTCAATAAATACTATATATATTTATCAGATTCATAAAACACCATGAAAAACATTTCCGATTACGAATCGAACATTCTAATCTATGACTGGAAAGCAACTTGAAATTATGCCTACAATCTCTTTTACTGATAATGTCTATTAAATATTAGCTTTTATATTTTTTTCTCATTTGTTTCATATCATATAATCTATCCTATTATAATTCTATTATTTTATCCTAATCGTATTCTATACTTTGATAAATCACCTGGAAACAGTATAATGTATATATATAGGAGGTTTATTATTATATCAACATTGGAACTTTCAGACCAAATCATCATAAATCATCGGGTCTGCAATCTGCATATCGGGTTTATAGGGATCAATAGGATCCTTTGGCTCAGGACTTAGGGATCATATTCAGAGATCAATAAAATAAATTGGATCAGAATTCAAATTCATGGATCAATAAAATACATTGGATCAGAATTCATGGATATATAAAATACATTGGATCAGAATTCATGGATCTATAAAATACATTGGATCAGACTTCAGGGATCTATAAAATACATTGGATCAGAATTCAGGGATCTATAAAATACATTGGATCAGAATTCAGGGATCTATAAAATACATTGGATCAGATGGATCTATAAAATACATTGGATCAGACTTCAGGGATCTATAAAATACATTGGATCAGAATTCAGGGATCTATAAAATACATTGGATCAGAATTCAGGGATCTATAAAATACATTGGATCAGAATTCAGGGATCTATAAAATACAATGGATCAGAATTCAGATTTCAATAAGATACATTGGATCAGAATTCAGGGATCAATAAAATATATTGGATCAGAATTCAGGGATCAATAAAATACATAGGATCAGAATTTAGGGATCTATAAAATGCAATGGATCAGAATTTAGGGATCTATGAAATATATTGGATCAGAATTCAGGGATCTATAAAATACATTGGATCAGAATTTAGGGATCTATAAAATACATTGGATCAAAATTTAGGGATCTATAAAATACAATGGATCAGAATTTAGGGATCTATAAAATACAATGGATCAGAATTCAGGGATCTATAAAATACATTGGATCAAAATTTAGGGATCTATAAAATACAATGGATCAGAATTTAGGGATCTATAAGATCAGAATTCAGGGATCTATAAAATACATTGGATCAGAATTTAGGGATCTATAAAATACAATGGATCAGAATTTAGGGATCTATAAAATACAATTGATCAGAATTCAGGGATCTATAAAATACATTGGATCAGAATTCAGATTTCAATAAGATACATTGGATCGGAATTCAGGGATCAATAAAATATATTGGATCAGAATTCAGGGTCCAATAAAATATATTGGATCAGAATTCAGGGATCAATAAAATACATAGGATCAGAATTTAGCGATCTATAAAATGCAATGGATCAGAATTTAGGGATCTATGAAATACATTGGATCAGAATTCAGGGATCTATAAAATACATTGGATCAGAATTTAGGGATCTATAAAATACATTGGATCAGAATTCAGGGATCAATAAAATACATTGGATCAGAATTCAGAGATCTATAAAATACATTGGATCAGAATTCAGAGATCTATAAAATACATTGGATCAGAATTCAGGGATCTATAAAATACATTGGATCAGAATTCAGGGATCAATAAAATACATTGGATCAGAATTCTGGGATCTATAAAATACATTGGATCAGAATTCAGGGATCTATAAAATACATTGGATCAGAATTCAGGGATCTATAAAATACATTGGATCAGAATTCAGGGATCAATAAAATACATTGGATCAGAATTCGGGATCTATAAAATACATTGGATCAGAATTCAGGGATCTATAAAATACATTGGATCAGAATTCAGGGATCTATAAAAGCCATTGGATGAGAATTCAGGGATTAAAACAAGATAAAAACAATGTATATAAACAATAAACATTAAAACAGCTCAACTGATCGGTTCAAAAATTTTGTGGTATCTCAACTTGAACCCAGCAATGGAAAGTTTATGGTCGGTAGAAGATGAAATATTTAAAAATCCATCGATTTGTGATCCTATATTCAAATCTATCGTTTAATTTTCATTTTTCATGAAGATAATTTGCACCTTTGTGTTAATTTGCCTCGCAAAATTTTTGCTAAAAAAATGTGAAATTTACTGAAAAACAACCGTGTATAAAAATATTTTTTTAGTGAAGAAAAAATGCAATTTATAATCTAGAGTTTAATATTTCAGCAGAGTTTAATATTTCAGCAGAGATTAATATTTCAGCAGAGTTTAATATTTCAGCAGAGTTTAATATTTCAGCAGAGATTAATATTTCAGCAGAGTTTAATATTTCAGCAGAGTTTAATATTTCAGCAGAGATTAATATTTCAGCAGAGTTTAATATTTCAGCAGAGTTTAATATTTCAGCAGAGATTAATATTTCAGCAGAGTTTAATATTTCAGCAGAGTTTAATATTTCAGCAGAGATTAATATTTCAGCAGAGTTTAATTCATAAAACGTCTTCTTGCCTTTTTAATTTTGCTCTTTGAGGAGTCAAGTCAAGTCAAGTCAAGTCAAGTCAAGTCAAGTCAAGTCAAGTCAAGTCAAGTCAAGTCAAGTCAAGTCAAGTCAAGTCAAGTCAAGTCAAGTCAAGTCAAGTCAAGTCAAGTCAAGTCAAGTCAAGTCAAGTCAAGTCAAGTCAAGTCAAGTCAAGTCAAGTCAAGTCAAGTCAAGTCAAGTCAAGTCAAGTCAAGTCAAGTCAAGTCAAGTCAAGTCAACCCTCGAAATATTAAATTTTTCAAAAGCTTTTTTAAAATTTAATTTGAAATTTTCAGATTAAAATTTCCCTGTGTACTAAAGATTTCATGAGCTTCAACTTTGAAGATGTATTTTTTGAATATTTAAATGTTTTGAACTATTTAAATCCATTTTTATGTTAATGGCCTTTTCATAAAATTCCCTCATTTTATTAATTCTTTATTACTTTCTTTGAAAGGTATCATTAAGTAATAAAAATTTCTTCTTTGTAAATTTTTGTTTAGAATTCGCTGATTTTACATTAAAAAGTTGTTTTCTCTACTTCCACAGATTTAATCTTCTTATTTGACCGTAAACCAACTTAGATTCTCGTAACTTTAAAAAAAAAACATCAAATACCATTGCTTGAAACTCAAATGCTTGGGGGGGGGGGAGGTTGTCGTGAAAGGCACGAGTTATAATGTTTTCTTGTGACTGTGTTTCTAGCAGCTATACTTCTAGCAACTATGCTTCTAGCAATTATATTTCTAGCAACTATACTTCTAGAAATAATGTTTCTGTTACCATCTGTACAGTCTGTTGAAACTGTTCCCAATGAAGACTTGAGGAAGAATTAACTCCTAAACTCTCATTGTTCATACTCATTCTTTTCTCTCTTGAAATTAATATATTTATATAATAAAACAAGACATTCGTATATATACGTTGCGTATAGCCGGCCAAACAGCTGGACCGATTGCGCTGAAATTTTTCTGTGGACACTCATGGTTGGCCGGGGGGTGTCATAGGCTAAATAAATTCGAATTTTTTCTTCAAAATTTTCTTCTTTTTTTACTTAAAAAAATATTTCAATTTTTTTTTCCACGGGTAGCGCAAAGCCCTTCAGCTAGTATGCAATAAATATAATAATAACCCCCATATCTTGGAAACCTGAAATTACCTGTACATGTATTACGTTATAATCAGCTGACCGTATTATCAGTCTGTTTAATCTTAATTTGTACCTTATACAATATACATAAATTTAGTAAGTGGAATATAGACTCTGGTCACAGACGGTTAGAGATACCATTGCTTGGTAGAGAGTATATTGGTAAATACATACTTAGACCTACCATTGTTCGGTAGAGAGGATAGAGATTGTTAGCGTTGTGTGTGGATAGATAAACACTCAGACCTACCAGTTTTCGGTAGAGAGGATAGTGTTTGAAAGCTTTTTGTGTCGATAAATACATACTTAGAGTGTAGACCTACCAGGATTCGGTAGAGAAGATAGAGTTCGATATCGTTGTGTGTGGATAAAGCACACTTAAAGAGACATTGGAGTAAGGCATTTATTACTTATATATAACATGTCAAGCTAAAGTGAATTGCACGAATTTTGCGTATTTTCAACCATAACTCCTCTAACAGTTATGGAGAAAAGCAAAAAAGTGACATGTAAGTGGTGTAAGGATTAGCGTGGCATACAAGTGGTGTAAGGATTAGCGTAACATGTAAGTGATGTAAGGATTAGCGTGACATGTAAGTGGTGTAAGGATTAGCGTGGCATGTATATGGTGTAAGGATTAGCGTGGCATGTATATGGTGTAAGGATTAGCGTGACATGTAAATGGTGTAAGGATTAGCGTGAAATGTAAGTGGTGTAAGGATTAGCGTGACATGTAAATGGTGTGAGGATTAGCGTGACATGGAAGTGGTGTATGGATTAGCGTGACATGTAAGTGGTGTAAGGATTAGCGTGACATTTAAGTGGTGTACATAATTCCGAGAAAATTGTGCACGAACACATTGTGCATAATTCCGAACATTTTGTACATAATTCCGAACGAACACATTGTGCATAATTACGAACAAATTGTGAATAATTCCGAACTTATTGTACATAATTCCGAACATATTGTGCATAATTCCGAACATATTGTGCATAATTCCGAACACATTGTGCATAATTCCGTACACATTGTGCATAATTCCGAACACATTGTGCATAATTCCGAACATATTGTGCATATTTCCGAACATATTGTGCAGTGCATAGTTCTGAATATTATAATATATTATGCTTTTTTCTGCTGGAATTGGGACTCGGATCTAGATATTGTATTCAACTACTCTGGGAGTTGTAAATATGAGTTCCGAGGTACAGATACAACCGGAGCCAAGAACCTCTGAAGGGAGGTATAGAAATAGATATAACCGGAGCCAGAACCCTCCGTGACGGAGAATCAGCCTATCAAGGAAATAGTTCGACTTTTTTGTGGGATTCAGATCTTTGTTTTCTTTTTACAGTTGATCCATTTCATTTTTCTCCATTTATTCTGAAGTAAAAAATGCTCAATTCATTTTTGCAGAGAAGCCACAAATGAAAATAATCAGATCTTAAAAACAAACACATGAATATACAATTAATATAGGCTTAGACAAATCTTTTTGTTGGTATTAACTTAAAAACTATTAACTTATATTTATCAAACATTTTCTTCTTACTCTGTCTACTGTCTGTCTACTGTCTGTCTACTGTCTGTCTACTGTCTGTCTACTGTCTGTCTACTGTCTGTCTACTGTCTGTCTTCTGTCTGTCTACTGTCTGTTTTCTGTCTTTCTACTGTCTGTCTTCTGTCTGTCTATTGTCTGTCTACTTTCTGTCTATTGTTTATCTATTGTCTGTCTTCTGTCTGTCTATTGTCTGTCTACTGTCTGTCTATTGTCTGTCTACTGTCTGTCTACTGTCTTTCTATTGTCTGTCTGTAGTAAATACCCTACTCCTGAATGGTTTTTCTAACATGTATCTATCCCGGTACAGTTCAGTTTCACTTAGCTATCAATGTTTAAACCCGGATACAATCCCGTAACTATAGATCCCAAATCAAAAGGTGGCGATCCTCAACCTGTATATCAAACAGGGAACCACAAGGATGCAATTTTGTGATCTATCAACACCACTGTGCACTGGGCGCGATCTCGTTAGCTATCGATATCAATCGGAAACTCGTAACTATCGATCCCAAATTAAAGGGGACGATCCTCAACCTGTTTATTAAAACAGTGAACCAGACGGATATAATCTTGTGATCTATGAAAGCCACTACTATGTCTTTTTCCATCTATCTTTTTTAATTTTTGCACAATTATGTTCTATCCGTAAACTCACACTTCCTGTCTGTCAATTGTTCTATGTCATTGTTTGTCAATAATGTGCTTCTTAATGTTTTTTGTGTCAATTCTCTGTCTCTCTTTACTATATAGATGTCTAATATTTGTACTTCTGTCACCTATGTGATTGTCTATTGTTTACTTTGTCTATCTCCTGACTACCTCTACACTCTCAGCCTGCTTATAGTTAATTATGTTATAGACGGTCTGTTATGTTTAATCTTCATGGCAGAAACAATACTCAATTGAACTGAAGAGAGAAGAGGGTCAACTCAGTCAAATATTTTAATAAAATAAGGAACTAACACCTATTTTATTTATTTTATGAGATCTGGATCATCATCATCACCAGTAAAAAACCACAACTAAGCAGTTGAAGGACAGACTAGATGTAAACAAAATAAAACAAATACCAGGCAATATATTTGTCAAAACATAAACAAATTCATATTTTAACTGCAACATTGTTTGTACATTGTAAATTAACCAAACCCACTTAGCTCCTTTACCTCTTTTGAACAACGCTTTTCTAAGTTTTAACTAATTCGGAATTCATTTTTCTCGTTTATGCAGAAGATTTACAATCACAAGATGTTCCAATAATCAAAGAAAAAAGAATCAAATTTACAAAACTAATTTCTTTTTAAGTTTTATTGCATGTATGTCTTGTAAGCTTTTCAAAATTTGGTGTACAAAATACAAATTGTGCATTGTACATTAGGGGTGTAAAATTTAGTGAAACTTTTCTAAAATCATTTTACAGAAGCAAAATAGTATTCCACTTGGAATTCTAATCCATGTTTATAAAATACATTTTTCACAAAATTTTAAAATGTGCCCCTCAAATGGGATTTTTATGATAAAAAATCACTAGTGTTAGCGAAAAAGAAAAATTTGACAATCTTAATAATATGGGTATCCATTGAACCAGCTTGAAAACCGGAGTTCAAAACAATTTACAGAATTGGAAAATATTGAAAATTGGGCAAGTTATGGTCAAAAATAGATTTTTTCTTTGAATAAATTTCATTAAAGTACTATTCTGTAAATTGATTTGAATTCAGAAATTCAATTCGGTTCCAATGATACCCAATTCAATAAGTATTTCAAAATTTTCATTTTCACTTCTACTAGTGACTTTTTGAATATTAACCCCGCATTTGAGGTGCACATTTTTGATTTTTGTGAAAAACATATTTTATAAACATGTCTTAATATTCCTAATAGAATACTTTTTTGCTTCTGTAAAATTGTTTCAGAAAAATTTCACGCCCTCGGAAAAAACGAAAAAATTTGAAGAAAAAAAAATTTCAAATTTTTGAAGCCTATAAGAAGATTTTTATCAACGAAATATTTTTTTCTTAGATTTCTTCTAGACAAGGAAAATGTAAATACAGTACAGTACAGTATACATGTAAATGCATGGCTACAATGAAACAGTTGAAAGAACATTACAAATGAAGAGTTAATGTAATATGAAAAATATGACAATAAAAAGATAGGCTATTTCTTAGATTGTACATTTCATGGATATGACATTTTATAAACAGACAAGATTTTTTATAGACAAGGCAAAATATGAAGACGAAAAAAAAGAAAAAAAATATCATTTGTAAAAAAATCTCTTTTGTCTATGGAAAATCTTTTTTGTATATGAAATGTCTTATCTATTAATGTCCTATCTTTGAAATGTCCTATCTTTGAAATGTCCTATCTATGAAATGATAGATATCTATGAAATTGAAAGATACCTATATCTATCTATCAAATTTATACGAAAATTCATATATATGCAATTTTGTATAAAAGTTGTAGTATTAAACAGATCATTTTCAACAAATACGCAATCAATCTAAAAACGACAGAAGCCTGAGAATCTCAGGTTTTCTCCTAATATTATTTTTATTTTTATTTTTATTTTGCATTTTTAATAGATATAATTGATAATATTATCACATATTGTCCGTTTAGTTGGTATTACGTCACCTAACTTCAGCCAATGTTTTATATGTATCGTTTAACTCCTGAGATTCTCAGGTTTCAGCCGATACGCCCTATCATTTTTCCTTTAAAGTCCCTTTAAACGCGATTTCAATGTTTTGATTAAATTCCCTGATTATAAGGATACCCTACACTGGATGTATTTAACTTGTTCAGTTGATTTAAAGTTACCACACAGTGCAGTGCATTATACAAGAACTGAATGCGGAACTAAAAGTTTAACTGTATGTGTAATTATATATATATATATAGATATAGATATTTAGAGAAAGATATATATAAATATTTAAAGATAAATAGATAAATAGATAAAGATATATTTAAATATATATATATTTAAAACTATGTATAGATAAAAAAGATATATAAATATATAGACATGGACAATCTGAAATATGTATCTCTCTAGCCACCAGATAAATAATCATATAAGGGCAAATTTTAAAATTGGCCACACTATACTGTAAATCCGGCTTTGGGGACCTGACAGATAATAGTCTTTTTGAT